TAATAATTAACTTTTGTAAATATTAAAATAATTTAATTTCGAGATTATGAAAAGCACAAGCTTATTAAATAAAATTAGGCTTTTCATACAATATATGCCAAACTCGTAAAATTAAATCAATGTTAAAATCCCATTATAAATAGCATAGGATTTTCTAATTGATGCTTTTCACACAATTCTCTCAAAACCTTTCATAAAAGCTATGTTTTTCCAAAATACCTTCTCATGCGATAAACATATTGAGTACCATATATGAAAAGGTGCCAAAGCAAAAGTGTGGCTATAGATGGCAACATAGCCCTCATAAAAGTCATAAATACTCAAGCACATAAATCATTAATTAACTAATAATTTATATATTTGATGGCAGACAGTGTCCCATTAACTCGTGAATCAATGAAAATCTTTAATTAGAAAATCGTGTGAAGTTTTCAATGAGTATTAAACATTGATATCATTTAAACAAAATTAAATAAAACAAAAAATAAACAGAAATAAATTAAATATTAATTTATTCGTATTTTTACTACCGGTAATTAATACTTAGATTGATGTTTAAATTTAAATTTAATTACTATTATAAACATGTTATGAATTATATTCATTTATAAAAATCTAAATATCTATTATAAAAATGCAACAAATAATTAACATTTATTACTGCTACACAACTTTTATAAAATACAGTATACAGTATCCCAAATATAATCATCAAAATTATATTTTGATAGAAATATATCAAAAAGGGGTGTGCCGGGTAAATCAAATAATCTATAAATAGATTCTCGATGACAGCTATAAATAAAAATAAAATAAGTCGGAAATGGATGGTCACTGTTAGGACATTATTATAGCTATGATTGACACCTAATTATTATGAAATTGGGTGTATTTTGGTCGCAGCTGTATATCTGCCGTCTCTCTAGCCTTTCCAAATGTATAGATAGATATACCGGTGCCCACAGACCTGAACCAATCAATCATTATCTGTATTGAAGTCCAATTGACTTTAAGCTTAAGACACACATACGATAGGATCCGATAACAGACCAATTGGTAGACAAGTATATTGCGGCTCATGTCATACATATCGTCAGTATATAGAAACTTATGCATTATTGAAGATACCTGTCCTTCAGGGCACCGGTCAAAGCCGTAGAAGAATATGAGTATCACTTCTATGGTGTATCTCATGGGAACTACATGTGATAACTCAATCACCGGATGTCCAAACTCTGTGGAGGGTATGAAGAACCCACCCAGACATAAGAAAATCGGCAGTAAGAGTACGGACATAATGACAGCCCTTTCACCGAAACAAATGCCTAATATATGGCCAATACTTTGGTAGGAGAGGGCACTGATGGACAGGCAGTATAATAGGACAGCGTATGTGCCCTCCATTTCGTAGACATTAATGATTAGACAATAGATAACTATAGAGACCATCGATGGCACGAAGTCCAAGATAGTTGTCACCAGAAAATACGATTCAGTGCTGTACCAGTCTATGAGATATGATTGTATTAGCATTGATGGGAACAGTATGTGAGATAAGACTTACAATTGCGGTGTTCTTTGTAAAAGACTGGGATCTCATTGGAAATGGTAAGTGAAGTGTAGATAATCTGAACGACCATTATTATGAACGCATATATATTGATGTAAACCAGATGTTTGCCTAAGATTTTGTATTCCTCGAGAGCGCCGGCATTTTGGTTGCAATAGTTTGAGGCCAATGGTTGACAACTGGAAGGTCTGTCCAATTGGTAGCTGAACAGGAATATTATGAAAAAACCCAAACCTGTATAACAAATGGTGTGAACGGCTATGAATTTCCAGTTGTGTCCCAAAGTATAGGCCAACCCTCGAAGCAATAGATACCAAAACTCTGCGAATGAAAAGCTTTTTGTTTCGATAGGAATACCATTTGATTGAAGTATGAGTTCATTGTTCACTCTCTTATGGTATGTATTATTCATGTCTTCATTGGTTTTCGCCGACAACTCAATGACCGCCTCATCCCTCAAACCATTTGCACATAATTTGATGATAACTTCGATTGGGATTTGATTTTCAGTGCAAATAATATGACAATCAGTCAAATGCTGTTTGAGATCCCGGGGCCGACCCGAATAGACAGTCTGTCCCCCTTTGGCTAATATATACAACAAATCAAAACTCATTACAATTTCGAGGTTCGGCTGATGTATGGATGCGATGATCGATAGGCCGTGTCTTCGGGACAACCGTTTGAAGCACTGAATCATCAAAAGAGCGGAATAGGAGTCGACTCCAGACGTCGGTTCGTCAACACATATGAGGTTTGGTTTGACTCTTGGGCTTAACTCCTGAGCCATTACTATACGCTTCTGTTGACCGGAACTACACTTTTCCACATTTACTACAGAGATATCACTTATGGCTAACTCTTCCATCAGTTCCCTGACATTCATCTCGTGGTCGACATCACTGTTGGACCCGTTCTTCAGTTTTGATGCATAAGTGATGGACTGTTTGACAGTCAGACCACTAATTAGGTGTTCCCTCTGGTCCTGTCCTATAAAACAGGTCCTAATCCTTACGTTTCGACTCAACCAGATTTGCGAGTCTTTTGTCATAAGATTTCTATTCAATCCATTCAGAGATCGCAAAAGAGATGTCTTTCCCGCACCGGACGGACCCATCAATGCATTGAAAGATCCCAATTCAATGAATCCCTGAATTCCCGAAAGAATCACTTTTTCCGACGAAAAGAGTGTTTTCTTGGCCTTCAATGTCAGTCCAATCCATGCGATACTCAACCCGTATATGGGATCTAATCCATGATCTGTTTCCTGAGTTTGGTCTATATTTTCTGTGTTTGATTTATAGCTAATATAGTGTCTCTTAATCTCTAACAAACTCTTGGATTCATTTGCATTATTATTATTGGTTTTTCGGAATTTATATAAAATTTTGTTAATAATTGAATTCTCGGTTATAATAAGTAATATGAATGAAACGACTTTAATAACACCAATAATTGCCAAAACATATAATATATACTCAATGGACACGTGATTATCATCGATACCTAATCTAAGCAACGTTTTAGACACCATATGAGTGGGACACCGACCCAACCCGTACAATGCAATGATTACCGCATTGGTAGTGTATTTATAAACCATTATATCGCTTAAAACCTTCATAAATGATACCATGTCATTTGTCTCAATGAATATATTACTGAGCATTGCGTTTAAAGTGGCATATAATAGGCCGACCATAACGCACAGGTACTTCATTTCATACCATACTATTGCCACCAAATGGCCGAATGCGTCCATACAGTGAAGATTGAGGTTAAAGGCAACCAAATATATGAAGTAACGCTTGAATTGTGCTGGCTCATTGCATAGCTTGTACAAAATCGTGGCACTGATACAAGCATTGATAGTAACCGATAACAAATCGATAATGGTCTCGGTTAAATAATAAACGCCAGAGCTATACCAATCTATAATTAAAAGTACCACGGGCAAAATTATTACGCTAGTATTAAGTGTAGCAATAAATGATATAATATATATATATATTCATACTATTATGGTGCTCAATGGTAAATATACTGAGCCTGGTCACTTTCTCGACAATCGAGAAGACAACCTGCAGTAAACTGAACGTCCAGAACGTGAAGTACATGTAATAGAAGTTCTGTTCGACATAAAAGTCTTTGTCAACCACTTCCAGACAGCTCCGGGAGTCTGTGATGTTGTTATTTGGGATACAGTCGACGGTTTGTCCACTACGTGAGTTACTGGATAACCCAAAAATGAGTGCAATTATTACAAACATAACTGATTTTAACAGCGTTTGTCGCCAGTTGTATGAATAAAATTCAGTCAACTCTCGACCAAACAGTAGATAAATGTCTTTAAAGTGAAAACTTTTTGTTTTGTGTTTAATCGGTATGTCATGGGTTTGGTCAATGAATTCAGTGACGATACGTTTTGCCTGAACATTGGCCTCATTTCGCAATTCAATCACTTTTGGATCAGTTATGCCTTTAGAGCCGATCTTTATCAACGACTCGATGGGCACCTGATCTTCGGTGCAATCGATTTGAAATTTTCTCAAATAGTAGGCAAGGAATTCAGGTGAACCCCAATACATACAGTGCCCTCCTTTTGACAATACATACAATTTATCGCATAATTCAATGATCTCTGAGTTTGGCTGATGTATGGATGCGATGAGACATATGTCGTGCTTTTGGACCAAACTTTTCAGACAATTCATGACCTGTTCATAGGGAAAGGGATTAGTTTTCATTAGTATTAGGATATATTGTGATGACATGTCTGTCCCATTACTGACCACTTCTGCTATATTACTGTCCAAACCAGTGGTCGGTTCGTCACATAAAATAAGGTTTGGTTTGTGAAGAGCCGTCAACTCGACAGCAATGGCCAGTCGTTTCAGTTCACCGCCACTACAGCTCTCAGCCTTCGTGTCCATTATGTCTGTTAGCATCAGATCCGACATAACTGTCCGCACATTCATCTCGTGATCC